CTTGGGCTTCTTCCTCCTCTCTTTCTGGAACCTTATCAGGCAGAACGCAGCAACTGACAGGAACAGCACGCCCAGGAGCACCCCAATCAGGGCCCCAGCCACTCGGCCTTTGGATGGGTCTAAAGGGGACACAGGGAACTCGGAGGGGCAGACCTTCCTGGCCTCTCCCCAGGTGTCTCACGCAGCCTCCCCAGCCCAGGCCTGCCAGCCGGGCCTCTGCCCAGCATTCCCTACCAGTCACAGAGAGGGTCAGCTCACAGGACGCACTGCCCATCTGGTTGGTGGCCACACAGCGGTAGGTGCCAGAATTGGTCAGGGAGAGATTGGTGAGAATGAGCTGGCCAGACACCTCATCTAGAGGGTAAGGAGGAAGTGTTCCATCATTCATTCAACTCACAGGGAGCACCTACTATGATGAAAACATATTTCATCCTTAACACAATCCTGTCAGGAAGGGACTAACCTCATTTATTAGGGGGGACCCTGGCTCAGAGAAGGAAAGTAATTGTCCGAGGTGACCCAGAAAGGAAGTGCCAAAGTCACTGACACTTCTGTGCTCTTTCCACCCTGCACAGCTGCCTTTTCAGGGGAGGAGGAGATGGCACACTCATGGGATTGGGGTGGGATGCTTACTGGATGATGTCAGGCTCCTGGTTGGGGTGAAGGGAAGGCTTGATTGCTAGAAACTGTACCTTCTGGGGTAGCTCAAATGTTTTACTAAGCTGCTTACCCTCCCTTTAGAAGGCAGAGCACACACCAGATGATCCAGAGGGCTCTCTGGATTGATAAAGGGGTGTGTTGGGGCTGGGGCAAGGGACAGGGCACTGGAACAAGTATGAGGAAGCTGAGAAGACAAGGCTCTTACCCATTTACCTGGTTCCTCCCAAGACACTGACTAAATGATTCAAGCCAGTCCATGTTACTCTGCCTCAGTTTCCTCTCTGGGAAGCTTGGAAATGATTCGTGACCCTCAAGAAATCCCCAAAAGTGGAAATCATAGAAGACCCCCTCTCTTCCCCCTGTCTTCCACTGTCATCCAAGACACCAGGAGTACATGTAACTTGAGAAATGCTCCCAGGAGCACAGAGCCACAGACCACAGGAAGCCAGACAGGAGAGAGCAATACAGGACCCCAGGGAAGAAGCAGGGAATGGTACGGTGGTCTGTCTCAGACCCACAGGCACAGAACCGATAAGTGAGGGGGTGTGGAGTTTAGAGACCAGGTGTGCCCAGGTCCTGAGTCCCCTCTTCCCTGATACCCCAGGGCCTTACCTTGCATCATGCTGCCAGGAGAAGGTGTAGGGAAAGATCCAAGGCGTACCCAGTTGTACACTGGCCTGGGGGCTCCCTGGGAAGAGCTGCACTTCAGGGCAGCAGAGCCCCCCACGGAGGTCTGACCACTCTTACTGCACAAGGGACTACTGGGGGGCACTGCAAGAATCACAGAAAGTACTTTAGCCATCTTTTAGCCCCACCCCCCCATCACGTGCTAGATTTCCTGCTCCAGTACTCCCACCAAATAGTAGTCCACTTCTCTTCACATTCCACTGCATCCCCAGGAAATGATTGCCACTATTGGAAATTCTGATTGTTAGAAAATTCTTCCTCGTGTTGAGCCAAAATCTGTGTTAATATAATATCCACCCATTTGGTCCCAATTTCTGCCCACAAAGAGAAATGAAAAATTTCTCCTCCACAGGACAAGCCTTCAGATACTTGAGTGCAATTGTTACACACCTCCTAAATCTTCACTTTTCCACCTAGACATCCCCAGCCTCTTTCATAGTTTCTGTTTGCTCATCTCTGAGCAGGTTCTGGGTTGGAGTGAGATGGAAATTGTGAACACAAGGTTGGTGCCTAGTGACAGGGGCCCTTGTTCCTTTAATGGCCACTCCTCTTCTCTGCCACTGACATACGGAGAGACAGAATCTGAGCTACAAATGGGACGTTCCCCCAAAGATAGAGTTGTCTGGGGCATGACTCAGATCCCTATATATGGGAAGAGCTTTCTCTCTCTTGAACCCTTTGTGACTAGAGACTGAGGAAAGAGGCATTCTTTGTGGAGGGTGGAGGACTTTGGGAAGGAGGTATTTTCCCTTGGGGTCCCCAGTGCAGTGTGTGCTTGGGCTGGAAATCAGGGATCTGGGGGAGGGAACTTAGCAGGGCCAGCGCAATCTTTCTCAGTACATGGGTGGCTGGTGGGTCCCCAGCCTGCCTTACCAAGCACAGTAAGGTTGATTAGCCCCAACCCATTGGTGTAGAAATCTGGCGGGTTATTAACTTGGCAGAGGTAGGTTCCAGTGTCCGAGGGGTCGACATCAGTCAGCTTCAGGGTGGCCACCCCTCCTGTGGGGGGGTTCTGAAGCAGGCTGGCCCTCTTTGCCTTAGAACCAGTTGGATACAGATGGCCACTGGTGAAGTACAGGATCTGGGGAGAAGCAGAAGACACACATATGTGCCTTTTTCTGCCTGGCGTCAACTCTACAGTCCTTTCTCCAAAGCAGGTATAAGAAGGTATTAGAGGCCCCTCCTTTTATACCAGACAGGGAAGCTGATGCTCTGGAGCCAGAACCGGCAAGGTCTATCTGTCCCCAAATACCATCCCTTCCCAAGGGCTAAATAAACTAGTTTTATTGCTTTCAGCTAAGCACGGCTCTCAATCTGAGGGGGGAAATTAATGCAAATATTCCTGGAAGGGGCGGCATTTGATCCTACTAACAATCACCAGAGCTTAGCATTAATGAAACTGGGACTGCACAAGGATAGGGGAGTTGCTTGTAGGAGCTCCGGGAGAGAGGTTGGATATACAGGGCCATATATGGCATACGGAGTCATGCAGACTGTGGTCCTAAGAAGATCTAGAAAGACTCCACTCATTTTTTCATCCAAGCATGCTGATCCCCAAACCCACCCTCTCTGACCCGCACCCTCATCCTGGGTGGGCCCTCTGTTCCAGCCTCTCCCAGCCAACCCCACCAAGAGGCCGGAGGGCCGCCCCACTCCAGCGCAACGCTCTTAGCTCACCGGGTGGGACTCAGACATGGGCTTCCCAGGCGGCACAAAGCTCCACTCCAGGGCGAAGTTGTCTCCCACCGACGTGCTGTAGCTGCAGGTCAGCTCTGCGGTCTTGCCCACGGGGGTGCTCAGGGGCTCGGCGGGTACCTTCACCTCCACGGCTAGCCCGGGGGCTGGGGGGACACAGAGAGAGGGGAGGCCGGCGGGAGAAGCGCTCGGACGGCGCCAGGCCCGGGGCTGGGGTGGAGTGGAGGTCCGGCCCCGAATCCCGGTGGCGGTCTTGGGGTCCGGCCCAACCCGCGGCTCTCAAGGCCTCCCTCCCTCCTCCAGAGCTCAGCTTCCTCCCCTCAATCCCTCCCTTCTCGAAACCTGAGGTTGCCGGGAGGGAGGAGCACACATCTCGGCCGGGTTTTTGTGGGTAAAAGGCCCGAGACTGGGCCAGGTATGAGGGTGTGCTCGTCAGGGAAAGGAAAACAATAGTCCGGTGGTGGTTAAAGCCTCCCGGGGAGGCCCAACTTGCCCGCCGGCTTGCGTGACTGTGTCCTTCGCCCGCCCGGCCTTCGACGCCTTTCCTCGGCCCCGCCCCGCGGACCCCGGGCCCCTGCGGCCCCGCGCACCCCCAGCCCGCTCCGCGGGACTGAGCCGGCCCCAGGAGCCTGGAGGCCAGGCGTCTGCCCCCCAGCTCTGACCGCGGTCCAGCCCGCCGCCTCCTCACCGCCCAGGCAGACGAAGCCCAGCAGGGCCCCGCAGAGGAAGGGCCCCGGAAGCCGGGCCATGGCCGAGTCCAGCCGTCTGTGGGTCGGTCTGGGCGTCTGGGTCTGGGGGAGGGAAGGCAGCGCCCACAGGGCGGCCGCCTCTTGCAGGGCAGGAGCAAGACTGGCTATCTCAGAGCAAACAAGGGGAGAGGCCCGTGCCCTCAGGTAAGGAAATGCTCCTCCCTCCTCCAGCCCCAATACTGGAATCATTCTAGCCCTACTCCCGTCTTCCGTCCGCTTCCCCCCGATTTCTGAAGCTGTCAGGCCCCGGGAAAAGGGCTGGGCTTGGGTGGCACCCCAGGGGGAAGGGATCAGATCTGGAGCGCTCTGTAGACCAACAAAGAGTGGCCCCTGAAGAAGAGGGAGGCATTCTAATAACCTGAGTGAGCAAATGGACATCACCACTTAGGGGTCCCTCCCGGGAGCATGAGCCCCGGGCAGAAGATCCTTTCTGACCCTTTCCGAGATTCTTATTCCTTCCTAGTCCTTCTTTTCTCTGGGAGTCCTTCTTTGGCACCTTTATCACCGCTTGCTGAGGTAGGAGTCTCCATGGAAACTAAAGCCAGCTCCCCACTCCCAGAGCCACTCCATTTCTCAGCAGAGAAACTGAGTCTTGGAGGAGACCCCACCCTTGATAGGAAAGGGTGTGGCAGAATTGGGGCACACGCCTGCACCCCATCCTATGTCCAGCTTTCCCTCACCACACTGGAGGGCAAGAAGATGTGTTTGTTAAGGACTCAGTGGTCTGGGAAAGGGAAGAACAAGTCAGGTTTCTCCCTCCTGCCCTTAAGAGGAAGCAGGAGATTAAAAGCACCCACACCCGAAGTCCGTGAGTACTCAAGCCCTAGCAGAAAGGGCACCGGGCTTCATCCCCTTGCTGCTCAGAGTGGGTTAGGGTCTTCCTGGCCTCAGACTTCTGGGGCCTTCCCCAGCCACCTGATAGCTAATGACCTCCCTTTTTTTTTTTTTTAAGACTTATTTATTTATTTGAGAGAACAAGCAGGATGGGCAGAGGGAGAGGAAGAGAGAATCAATCCCAAGCAGACTCTGCGGGACTCCATCTCGGGATCCTGAGATCACGATCTAAGCCAAAACCAAGAGTCAGATGTCCATCCAACTGCACCACCCAGGCGTCCCTACAAATGACCCTTTTAAAGACTCTAGAAAAGCTGTTCCAGGAAGCTGTGTGGAGAAGCCCTCCAGGGTTTGAAAAGGCAATTTGACTCCTACTTTCCATACAAACACAATGCATCTTTATTGAAATTTGCAAAATAAAAACAAAAACACACATTTCAAGTTAGTTTAAAAAATACTTTCCCTATCCCCTGCCCCAACAAAACCCAACCAAGCCAGCAGGACAGGTTATATGAATGCAGGGAGCTGGAGTGGGGGTGAAGGATGCTGTTAGATGGGGTGGAGTACAGATCAAGGGGGCCTGGAGGACTCATTGACTGGCAGTCCCTACCAGGGCCCTATCTCAGCAGTGTTCCCTGCAGTCCTAAGGAGGACTGGGGGAGGGGGCAGGGGCTCTTCCTAATCTGAGGTCCACTTCCTCTTCTTCTACTTCCTGAATGTTTGGATCTCAACAGAGACTCAGTTTTCCCTTAGTAAAGAAAGGTGTGGGCAGAGGACTGGAAGTCTGGAAGGTGGTCCCCCAAGACTCAGGCCTCTGAGGTAGGGGTGACCCCTATAGGAAGGAGAGAAACCAGATGGCTTAGCTAATGAGTGGCTGGACCATCACACCAGAGACCCAGCCTGACTCTGGGCGGGCACCATTACGGGGACAGCACCCATGCGGCTCAGAGCAGAGGAAGAGACCCCACCAGGGCTGGGGGATATTGGCTGAGGTTGGGCCCCATCTGTCCTGGGCAGCCTGGGTGAGGGCAGGACCTGACTGGAGAGGCTGAGCGTGGGGGTCAGTGCACCAGGTCTGGGAGGACCTTGGGGGTGCCGGAGGGCTCGTGCTGAGGTGACAGAGGAAAGTGTCCCATTCTTGGAGATTGTGTCCGAGCCCTTGGGCCAAGGCAGGGTCCGGGGAGCAGTGGCATCCTCCCTAGTGATCAAAGAAGTAATAAGAGGTCAGAAGCTGGAGGGGGGGAGAGGGGAGAATTTCTACATGCTTTGTCTTACTCCCTGCTCAGACACCGTTTCACTCTCCCCTCCCTTAAAATCCACCCAATGGAATGATGTTTCAGACAGCTGCCCAGACTTCCAGCCAAGGGAAGCTAGGAGAACCCCGTTCGGGCAGAGACCAGACACACTTACTTGATATCATTGGCCGGCTCCTCTAGGGCCTTGCTCCGGCGTTGGTACAAGAGGACCAGCCCAGCCAGCAGCCCCAGTCCAACCAGAGTGCCCACAACAGCTCCAGCAACCACCGCAGGCCCTGGCCCTGGAAAAGCCTTGGTGTCAGAGGGAGACCCCCAGCTGGTACCCACCCCCTCCAATCCCTCTACCCCACTGCCACCACAAACAGTTTTTCTTCTTCCATTTTCTGTCAAGCAGAAAATGGTCAGTCAGTGACCAGACATTTGTACAAACATCTGACCAGGACAAGCTCCTTGTCCTGTTAACAATGAGAGGCCTCAGCAGACAGGCCTCCTCTCCTCTTGCAACCCCACCCCCACCAGCGTCCAATCTTCTCCTTAACCACACTTACCCCTCACTGACCTGTGCTCACTTCCAAGGTCACATTGCACTGGGCACTGCCCACCTCATTGTGGGCCTTGCAGATATAGACTCCAGACATGGGACTGGAAAGGTTTGTGAGGCTTAAGGATCCACGGATGGCATCTGTGGACACAATTGGGTCATCAGTCCAGGGACCGTCTTTCCCACTGAAAAAATTCTGTCCCTTCTGGAATGTCCTCTTTGACTTTCTGGGAGACTCATCTGTCTGTTCCCTCACGGTGGGAAAAGTTGTGATAGCCAGCATGCTGGGTTCTGCCCCTGAGTACAGAACTGCTAACTCAATGGTGCTCTCCACTTCCACTGCTCAGTGTCCCTGATTGATATCTAAAGAGATTCAGAGAGGAACTGATGCCCAGAAAAACCCAAACACCATGTTTACTTTTAGTTAGGATTGGCGGAGTGGTGAGAAAGAACACATTAGGATCAGAAAACCTGACAAGAATAGGCCATGCGACTTTAAACAAGTTACTTGCTATCCCTGGGTCCCAGTTTTTTGATCTGTAAAACAGGGTAATATGACCTCCTTGATGGTGTTGAAAGGATTATATGAAATAATGATTATTAATAGTTAAAGTTTATTGGCCATTTACTCTATGCCAGAGACTAAGTCCCTTACACGTACCAACTTACGAAAATTTCACAACAAACCTATGAGCTGAGCACTATTTGAAAAATACAAATAATTTTCTTATAAAAATGGTCACATGAAAAGTAGAATGAGGGACGAAATGAAAATCCATATACCCACTACTTTGATTCAATGATTGCTAACATTTTGCTATACTTACTTCATTTCTCTCTCTTTTTGTGAGACACTTAAAAATAAATGCTCAGCATGAGTCTCCAAAAAATAAGGACATAGACCACGTAAGTACAATACCACTGCCGCATCTGATAAGTTAATAATCCTCTAAAGGAATTATCTAATACCTAATAATAATGATCTAATCATCCATATTGAAAATGTCCCAATTGTCCCAAAACATCTTTTATAACTAATGGGTTCAAATCAGGGCTCTGACATCCCCGTTTTACAAATGGAAGCAGAGTCACGGGGCTAGTAAATGGCAGAGCTAGAATTTGAATGCAGATTATCTAGCTCCAGAGCTTCTTCAGTAACATAAGTGTACAGCAAGTCTAAGTCCCCAACACAGAGGCTGCACCTGCTGGGCCCTCTTCCCCCCCC